CTAGCTCGACTCGACTCGTTACTATAACGAGCTCAAACCCAAGATTGGCTCGACTCGTATAACTCGCGAGCTGGCTCGTTTAGCTTGTTAAGCTCGTTTAAGATATAAACATAAAGCCCTCAAATATGATAAAAATGATTATGTATATATTAAACATATATATCACTATACAATTGTAATTTTCTTGTAACGCATGAGTCTCCTAGGAGGCTAGGCCTTCAACTGCTCGGCCTTGGGTTGTGCGCCTGGGACGTAGGCTGTTTAGTGGCTGATCTTTCTTTGTATTGGGAGTGGCTAATCTATTGTATCGAGCCAAACGAGTTACACGAGTACTCGTGAGATTGGCTCATTTAACTTGGTCTATAAACGATCTTAAACTAAAGCTCGGCTTGACTCGTTATTCTTCGAGTTCGAGTCGATTCGAGCCGAGTCTCGAGCTACTTGTTTAGCTCGCAAGCTTCGAGCTTTTTTTCCAGCCCTACATGCCACCCACCTTTGACAATCCGAGTTGATTGTCGACCACCGGGACCGAAGTGATCTCTCGGAGCGGTCAATTCCACTCATGTTGCGAACATCAAAGTGTTCTTTCATCCGCCCCCAATAAGCGTCTCTACTTTGATCACCTCCAACGGATGGACCCCTCGACACTTGCAACCAAGTATTGCATAGTAAGATGTCATCGACGTTGGTGTAATTGCCCGCTCTTCCTTCCGGCGTGTCGACAATGCCCTCACCATCCTCGTCCACCTCGAACTCGTGCTCTTCAAAATGCATGTCATTAGTTTGAGACCAATGCGAATTGTTGGAGCCAACACCCATAGTTGACATGTATGCATCATCGTTGACACTACAAAAAATATAGAACAATGCAAATAAGCTATCTATATGGATGCATTCAAAAAATAACAAGAAAAGAAAAATTGGAAAAAATTTCTACCTTTGGGGCATATCGTCGAACACGTTGTGCGCGTCGGCGGTCGGCTCAACGACTGAGCTCGCCGGCGCTTCGGTAGCTGCCGCGCCCGTCACATGCCCTGCAAGCTTCTTTCTCCTCGCCTTCGAGGTGCCGGAGCCGTCAGCCGCCTTGTTCTTCTTCGCGGATGTCTTGCCCTTCTTCGGCCGCGCCGCATTGGGGAGCTTCGAGGGGGCGGCGGCGGCACGGGACGGCGCTGGCGCGCCGCCACCCGCCGCCGTGGTCATCCGCGGCGGCATGAAGAGCCCGCGCGCGAGGCCGATGCTCGGAGGAGCTCCAGCGGTGGCGAGGCCAACACTCCCCGCGCTTGGATTTCCGGCGGCGGCAACGGCGGGGGAGGGGTCGCGGCTGTAGGATGGGGTGAGCGGGCCAGGGTGCCGGCGCATGCGTCCATCGGGTCAAGTTCGAGCTTCAATAGAACTTTGCGGCGCGAGCTTCAGTAGAACTTTGCGGCGCGAGCTGTTATTGTGCTCTGCATCACTCAGAAGCTGGCACACATCTCGGTGGACTTCGATGGCTGTGATTGTGGGTACCGTGAAGCTCGAGCTTCAATAGAACTTTGCGTTTCTATATGACATGGGCGGCGCCGGCCAGGGGCGCAAAGGTTGGAGCGGCACGAGCACAACATGACCCAACGTAGCAGCTGCGGGTGGTGGCCACTGGCCACCCAGGTCGTTCTATGAAGTCCGTCCATGCTGGCGTGCCGCTCTGGCGCGCCTCAGCGCCGACGACCTCTGGTGCATCAAGCGGCTCGCCGACGTCTATGGCCACGGCCTGCTCGGTGGCTGGACCAAGGCCCCGCCTGGGCGCTCCATCTTCGTTGACACTGAGTTTTCTGCTGCGTCTGATCTATCCTGCTCCTTGCAGAGCACCGTGCAACTTTGTCAACAGAACAGGCCAGACTGGAAAACTGGTAGCCTTTTTGGTGTCTTTGGGCCGCTTTTGCTCCATGGCTTCCTGCTAGGCTGCTCTTACTAGATCTCTGGACTTCTTATGGACTTCCTGCTACGCTGTTGTTGGCGACTTGGCTTCCCTGGCCCCATCCGAGGTCGACCATGGGATTCACAGATCAGCCAACAACAGAAACACATAGCGATCCAAGGACAATTGTAAGTGGGTTGAAATTTGATAATGATTCTGCTTTCTCTTCACCACAATTTATAAGTAGAACTGTGAATGCAAACCATAATTTCGTATTGAATATAGATTAGTGTTTTCAGGATATGAAAAAAATCATTTCAGAAGCCTGTCTAACGCGAGCTGTATCAAAATGCATGGATAGCATATGTGTACACTGACTTTTCTTCTAATGCCTGTACTTTTTCTCCATGAAGTACTTATTTGTTTAACGGTAATTTTCAGGTCATGTTCCTTAAGACATTACTGGGACTGGTGAAAACTGGACAAGGATGATACCGTACTTTTTCTCCATGAAGTACTTATCAAATATTTGAACTATGAAGCAGGTATAGTTTCCACAATTTTGTTTGATCCTAACACTTGATTGTATCGAGTCGTTTTCTTAGTTTGCTTTGCGGAAATATGGCCTTCAGCTGCGGCCCTACAACTATGTTGCATTATCCTTTTGAAACATACATGCTATTCGCTAAACTGGGAAACACTAGACATTAGGTACGTTTCTTCATCATCTTTCAGACTTTGTTGATATATTCCAGTTAGTATTTATCTCATGTTCTTTTTAGTATTTTCAGGAAGTGTGCCTAGCATGGTATTAAGTCCTCTAGGTGTAAGGCTACAACCTTAGGTTCTGGCAAAAAAGCTCTTTCACTGAGTTTGCAATTGACCCACGGCAAACAGTGGAGAAACAGAGTATTTTTAAAGCATTTTCAGTAGGCTCTTATTTAGATATAGTAGATTAGTACCTTATTTGTTCCTGTTGGAGTGTACTGGTGATAGAATGGTCGACTGTAATTTGTTAGTTTTGTTTGATGATGTTGCATTCAAGCAAACAATATGTGACTGGGGGCTTCTTTATTTCCATGGAGTTGTGATGTGAATCAACACTCAGGGCCAACATTCACACGTCAAATGAACTATAGTATTCCGCAGCAACGCGCGGGACACCATCTAGTCCTTATCATAAATGACAACATTTTCTTGGCACCTCAACCCATCAATTCAATCTGACTTACGCAAGTCATCCCATAGGATGCAGCAAATTAGCGCGTCACCTCTCGTGGCCGCCATATTACTTCATAAAAATCACACTCATACTCTGATCCCGTAGACCGTAACACATTGCAGTCTATTAACGACTGATCGTGGGGGCACATGAGCTTAACGAGATTCAAACGAACAGAGCCGGTCAGTTTTTTTTTTTTTTTGCTCGGTAAGCTTAACGAGCCGAGCAGCTCATTAATCCGCCCATGAGTTCTCAAAAAAATTATATCAAATTGGAGCTAGTAACCAATCCCAACATGGAAATCCGAACTTTCTCAGCCTAGAAAAGGATAAGAAAGAAAAAATGAAGTAAAAATAATTAAGAATTTCAGTATCTTTAGTATCTAAGTATAAATACTAGAGGTGGCATGCACGTCGTTTATTCTTATGCAACTCACAGCATGTCTTAGAACACATGCATATACATAGCAACTAGAATTCAGTGATTACTTCTACTCCTACTCGGACAGTGGCATTGTTCCCGTGTTTATATCTACAGAAAATCAACATGTATAAACATTAGCCCTCTCTTTTTTGGCGAGGTATAAACATTAGCACTCACGGCACCCTCCAACTCTAGGGCGGTGGGATATTCATATATCAAGTCTCCAGCTAGATTGCCCTCCTTGAGAAGCCTGGCTTTGCGCTCTTCCGATAACATGCGTGCGAAATAGATCAGCTCCTCCTCGTTGGTGCCCCTATTCTTCGAGTCAGGCTCGTTCTTGCCAGTTTCGACGTTCACCTTGCACACCTGCCTCTTCAGCAACGACTTGCCAATTTCAACGAGCCTGTTGAGGTTCTCCGGCGTGGACACATCAACAGAGGCTGTTTCACCATTGAGCCCATCGTCATGGATCCGGAGGTAGCGCTTCTCGCAGTGAAGCGCCTGGAAAAGCACAGAGGCATGGATGTCGACGAGGTCGGTACTAGCCTGGCTGAAGCTGTCGATGATGGGAGTGGCACCCCTGTTGTAGAGCCACCCGAGGACGCCCCACTTGCTGCACTGGGCAACGTCAAACTTCTCCTCGATCTTAGCCGCTCCAGTGCCCAATGAAAGGATCATGAACTTGCCGTAGTCCGCCGGCTTGATAGGAAAGAAGTCAGGGTTTCCCATCAATATCTGTTTGCTCACGTCGGTCATTGCCAGCAACGTCTGTACCCATGACATTTTTCAAATATTAGATAGAGAACAATGCTTTGATACCACAACACATAATCGTACTACATAGGTTAGCGTTGTAGATTAGGGATGTAAGTAGGGTGGGTTGACGCACACTATACAAATATAGTGCTAATTATATATAAGTGATGAGCTAATTGATGTGTTTTAACAGAACAACGTACTTATAAGCCTAATTAATAGAGGTTGTTAGCTAAGTCTCATCAAGCCTCAATCACATTCATTGTTGTTCGAGTTGACATGCATGCACAACTCACCGGATTGTTTGACGCGACACCTCCGTCGATGAGGTTGAAGGCTCGTGGCTTACCCTCCTCATCCTTCGTTTCAAAATGGTGGCCGGGGAGGTAGGTCGGTGCGGCAGACGTGCCGATGCAGACATCTGATAGAAGAGCGTTCTTGGAGACATCCTTCATGGCCTGTACATTTTAATTAGGTAATTAGCAATACGCACAGAGAGAGATAGAGTCAGACATCGACGTAGCCCCATAGGTTTCTGTTCATAACATACATCGTAAGTTGAGAAGATTGTAGGCTGCAGAAGCTTTATGTCGAAGGTGGGGATCACAATGTTTGAAAGCGTCTGATCGACTCGCGTGTCGCCGAGCAGCTCCTTGACGACCGAGCGGAGGTGCTCACCGTCGTACTTTGGTCCGGTCATGGTCTTCAACAACCCGAAAGGCCCTTTGCTACAAACATGGTTGATCATCTATTAAGATACTATAAGCTCTCCTGATTGGAGCATACAGGTGGGTCGTGGTTTGTGGGGATCACTGGCTCCGCCAGTGAGGTTGTGTGTTGTTGCTTCCTGTTTGTTTTTTCTATTTAATATTTTCATTTTTTATATTTATTAATTTTATTTTTGTGAAATTTTTGAAAGCTATGAACATTTTTGTAAATTCAATAATAAATTAAATTTATGAGTATTTCTGAAGTTCATGAACATTCTTAAAGTTTGTGGATATTTTTAAATTTGTGAACTTTATTTCAAATTTGTAAATATATTTTCAGATCCATGAATATTTTATAAATATCCAAACATTTGTTTTACAATTCGTGGTTGGAACATTTTCTAAATCCTAGTAACGTATTAAGCTCTCTAGATTCGGAGCCCCCGGTGCATCGTGAGTGTGGGAGCGGGATAGCTGGCCACAACCATGACGGTGTGTGTCGTTGGTTGATGGTTCATGTTTGTTTATTCTTTTAGTATTAATTGGTTTAATTTTCCTTGTTTTATTTTTTCACATTTGAATTCATCAACATTTATTTAAATATGAGAACACTTTAAAAAATTGTAAACATTTTCATAAACCCAAGAAATAAATAAATTTATTAATACTTTAAAGGTTCATGAACATTTCCAAAGTTTGTTTTTTTTAATATGTGAACTCTATTTCAGATTTGTTAATATATTTTTCCAATCTATGGAAATATTTTAAATATCTGAACATTTTTAAAATTCATGTTTTTTAATTTGGAAAATTTTAAAAAATCCAAAAAAATTAAAATCCGTGAACGTCTTTAAATTTAATGAATTTTTCAAATATAAAATGATAGCAAGCTTATTGTACGATAGCAGCGGAGCGAGATGGAAAAAATGCTAAGCAAGCAAGTTGAGCAGGGAGTCGAGCTGAGCGGGTGGGAGCTTTGCGGGCCAGCCCAAAAGTCTCACAGACAATCACACCAAGATCGAAATGTATGGACACAATAACCACGCACCAAACAACTCTACTCTCTTCTCAGGAAAAAAAAAGTCTCTAGCAGCACCCCCATCATGATATATGAATGATAAAACACTACCATTACATAATTAAAACCCAAGACAACATAGATAAAACCAAAACGAAACAATCCACTTCAATAACTTGCCAGACCCCCAAATAAAGAATAGTGCTACAAAGGGCCCACATTCATGTGTATGATGTTGATATTATTATTATTATTATTATTAGCGAGTTATGATGATTATATAGTATATGATTATATAGTATATGGACTCACTCGCAGTTGTGTGCACACATCTTAGTTATGAGCGTATATTATAAATCAATAAAATACCATGTATAAAAAGATATAGACTTGCTGACCTGACCGGAGGGAAGATATTTGGGCAGTGTTGCAAGTAGAAGCGATTGATGTCCTTGGCGGCGAAGAGCGGACGGCCGTCGGCGTTGGGCGCGGTGAGCATGGCCGTCACCAACCCTCCGGTGCTCGTCCCGGCCATCACGTCGAAGTAGTCTGAGATCCTCGCGTCCGGTCCATCAAACTCCTGTATAGAGATAGAGACGGTCCATCAACAGTAGACTCCTGTATAGCAGCAGGGTGATGCAGGTCAGAAAAGTGAGTTACCTGGAGCTTTTCTTCGAGGAAAGCTAGGATAGTCCCGGGGATGATGCCGCGGACGCCGCCGCCGTCGATGCTCAGCACGGTGACGATGCTCCCGTACGCCGGCGGCGGCGACTTGGGAGTGGCGAGCGACGGCACGCGGCCGCTGAGCGCCCGCCTCGCCGGGTTCTGCAGGGTCAGGGGCCCGTTGCTCTGCTCCGGCCGTCGCATCCTCACTCAGACCGACCGCTACTAGCTTTGTGACTGACGATCGATCGGTGTGGTTAGTTGGGTTGGTCAGTCATCGTTGAGGTCTGCTTCGCACACCAGGCTTAGTCAGTCATCGTTGAAACCGGATTCCCTACCGGAGGCAACTCTGCTTTGGTCACCGGCCATCGAATGGGTTCGGAGGGGATCAGAAGTGGAATGACGGAGAGGGGCTGAAGTGGAGTTTGGATTGACTGCGGTCTAGGGTTTTCCGAATGAAAATATTTGTGGCACACGTTTGTGCCAGGCTGAGCAAAGCCGATGTGGTGGACGGGCCCAGACCATCTCATATCCGCCTTATATTTAGGCTGTATATGAGAGGGGTCGGATAGGCCGAACGTTTGAGGATGATTTAAAACGTTTGTCTGAGTATGATCGGTCAGTGATTAGGCTGTTCACGCGGACGTTTGCGAACGGTTTGAGGTGCCCGGTCGGCTGTAGACGCTCTAGCCTAGCCGATCGAGCCGAGCACGGGGAGGGCCGGCGGGGCCCATCCATCGACCTCAGCCGGTCATGGTCGATCGCCTCGGAGGAAGGAATATCTGTATGTACGTACGCACCGTCCACGATCCTGCTTAGTCCAGCTGGATCCAATCGCGCGCGTGCAGGTGTTTCGGCCGTTAACTTATGTTATCCGCTTACGTACGTAGCCATGGTGTTGATGATGCTCCCATGGACACGTAGTACGTATCCATCACAAGGTACGTAGGTGTAGTATTTTTTTTTTGCCAGGTACGTACGTGTACCGAGAGAGTGTTTTTTCTTTAGAACAGTACAATGTAGATGCTCAGGTAGGCACATATATAGTTACCCCTATGAACACATGCATCATACTAGCACCTCCGAAATACTGAATATGCACAACATTTTAGATTGATGAAGTCTCACAGGCAACTTCGTAGTCGAATGAAAAGTCCCCACTCACTGAACGGACATCATTGGAAAATCCAAAATAAATTTAGAAAAATGCGAGAAGCGATGCCAAGTCTAAGGGCCTGTTCGGTAACCCTCCACGACCCCAAACTCCTCGACTCCACGGCCAGCAGCCAGCGCCAGCTTCTCGTAGGAAATCCCGGAGTCATGGGAGCGTTCGGCAGAGCAACTTCTTCCTTCGACTGATTTCCACCTAGGCTGAAAGGCCATTTAGATGTTTCTGGCCCACTTAGCATATTTACAAGATGGGCTATTGGTTGGGCTTTGAGACAATTCTCGTGGAGGAGATTAGCTGCAGCGAACCGGTACGCGAATTCACTTCGCGGTTGTCATGCATGTGTAATATCAGCCAACTCCCGCTTCTCCATTTTCTGAGAGCTTGGGTTTCCCAACTCCACCACTCCTCCACTTTTGCACTATGGCAATAGCCAGCTTCTCTCTCGTATAACCAGGTTTTGGACCATTCGGGTTTGCTCCTGACCTGGAGTGGAGGAGTTGAGAAGCTGGGGAGTTAACGAACACGCCCTACATACACCACAAGGTAGCTAAGTATATGAGCTACACTCAGTTCGCCCGAGGGCGTGTTGCTGCTCTGATGGATAAATCCTAACCACATGGTACCTCAGACGTGTAGTTAACTCATCTGTTTCCTTTCCCATGACCTAATTATGTCACTAGTTCACGGTGAGGGTGACTGGGTGAGGATGGAAGATGACGTTGTCGAGGAAAGACTTGCTGCTAGGGATTACTCTATGGTAAGTAAAAATATCATCAGAAAAAGTTCAAGACCTGCCCCCTTCTGTGTAAAGAACACATATCATCAGAAAAAGTTTGTTAATGGTTCCTGTTTGTTTTTTATTTTAGTCATTCTGGTTTTTTCTTATGTTTCTATTTATAATTTTGGCGCGCCTTAATTCTTCAATATTTATTAAAGTTCGTTATTATTTAACAGTTTTGTAAAATTCAAGAAATAAATAAATTCATTAATATTTTTAAAGTTCATGGAATTTTTAAAATTTTGTAAACTAATTAAATTTTAAAACTTTATTCAAAATTTTGAATATTTATTCAAATCCATGAGTATTTATAACAATGTTTTTAAAAGTTTGAACATTTTACAAAGTCCAATGCTTTTTAATATCCAATTTTTTTCAAAAAATTGAAAAGGTAGCTCGAGAGAGTGTTTTGCCAGGTACGTACGTGTACCAAGAGAGTGTTTTTTCTTTAGTACAATACAATGTAGATGCTCAGGTAGACACATCTATAGTTACCCCTATGAACACATGCATCATACTAGCACCTCTGAAATACTGAATATGCACAACATTTTAGATTGATGAAGTCTCACAGGCAACTTCGTTGTCGAATGAAAAGTCCCCTCTCACTGAACGGACATCGTTGGAAAATCCAAAATAAATTTAGAAAAATGCGAGAAGCAATGCCAAGTCTAAATACACCAAAAGGTAGCTAACCATCTGAGCCACACTCAGTTCGCCCGTGGGAGTGTTGCTGCAGTGATGGATAAATACTGACCACAAGGTACCTCAGACGTGTAGTTAACTCATCTGTTTCCTTTCCCATGACCTAATTGTGTCACTAGTTAACATGAGGGTGACTGGGTGAGGGTGGAAGATGATGTTGTCGAGGAAAGACTTGCTGTTAGGATTAGTCTATGGTAAGTAAAAATATCATCAGAAAAAGTTCAAGACCTGCCTCGTTCTGTGTAAAGAAAACATATCATCAGAAAAAGTTTGTTGATGGTTCCTGTTTGTTATTTCTATTATTTACTCTGGCTTTTGGGTTCTCTTTTTATTAATATTTTGGCGCACTTTAATTTATGAATATTGATTAAAGTTCGTTAATATTTAGAAAAATTGTTAACATTTTTGTAAAATTCAAGAAATATATAAATCCACGGATAGTTTTAATGTTCATGGATTTTTCTAAAAAAATAATTTTTTTGCAAACTTTATTCGAAATCTTGAATATTTATTCAAATCCATGAATATTTATAACCATGTTTTTCAAATTTTGAACATTTTTAAAAGTCTGATATTTTTCAATACCCATTTTTTTCAAAAAAAAATGAAATGGTATCTGGAATTTTACAAAATAGCAGTAGAGAAAGCGACAAAAAAAAATCTAAACCAACGAGTGGAGTAGGGAGCCAAGATGAGCGAGCGGGAGCTTCATGGGTTGGCCCATGGGTTGGCACAAATGACCGAAGACAACTCTTTTGCATAAACGAAGCCGAAAACAACTCTTCGGCCAAAAGTAGACCGAAGACCCTTCTTCGGCCAAGAGTAGACCAAAAAGATCCTCTTAGGCCAAGAGGATGCCGATGGGGAGAATAGATTTGACTTTATGCATTACATCATATAGTTTCCGAATTTGCTATAAAAGCATCATAGTTTAAAAAGAATCCTAAAACTTGTCTACACTAACAAGTGCAACGTGTCACATATGTACCTTCAGAAATCGAAGCAGGGAGTCTAGGAAATGGTTTAGCTTTGAGAGACGTCATGTTTGGCCAGTTCATCTTCGTGATATTCTTCAAAAAACCTTGTTACTGAGTAAGAAAGTTTGGCATGTTTTCCCTTGGGCTAGCCTTCCTCGAGGTTGTGAGGTCCCCTCTCTGGTGCCTCTTGTCTTTATATACCTCAAGACTTCCCTCACTAATAAATCCCAAATTTGTGTTGCTTCCACTCCAAATTTTGAGGTTTTATCGTACAAACATGTTATGGTACTCTGCCGAAGAGGAATTTGTTGTTTTCTTCATCAACATTGATCTTTGCTGCTCCCCCGGTGAAGTTGGAGTAGTCCATTCCTTGGACTATGGGCTTGTAGTAATCCCTCAGTCCTGAATTACTTGTCGCAGGAATGGATAAAAATGCATGTATCTGGAACTAAAATACGTCTAGATATATTCATTTCCGCGACAAATAATTTCAGACGGAGGGGGTAGTAGACATGATTTAATCCCTCCCACGTTCCTCAGCACAATAATCACATGAGATGACCAACATGATTGTAATACAATGATGTACTCTTTGCAATGCTTAGGTTTATGTGATGAATTATGAATTATTACTTCATGATGATATTATATGTGATACTTATACGTAGTTTATAGATGTACATTGCTCTTCGATTGCTTAGATGATCCTTGGCCTGTTTAGATGGATAATCAAGAGGAGAGTGATGTGCATTAGTTGAGTTTAATATTACAAGTAAGCTACCTCGGTGATGGTAAATTGAAAATGCTTGTATTGTATTATTGTCACTAAGGATAAAAGGATTGTTGACCCAGTGATGTACTTTTATATCACCTTCACGCACCTTATTATTGGGAGAGCTGCTATTGAGTGAACCTATTAAATGTGGTTCAATTTATCATAAAAGAAAACGGGTTTTTCTTTTCTTTAGGGAAAGTAGTGCCTAACCCCCAGCTCGGTGCACCCCTAATACAGTTTTGTTTTGAACATTTAATTATTTCAAAAATATAAAAATACGTCCAACCACACTATACATTAATTACTCATTACAACTAGCAATGATAGTGAGGTTGACTCCCGCACTAGTTGGGGGCACAAGTGGTACCTTATTTTCTGTTGAAGCGTAGATTGGTGTAGAGAATGTGCTTCCATCAATTGATACCTTAGTTTATCACTGAGGGAAGATTGTTGCGAATGAAGTTGCATTTTGTTATTTCTTTAATAACTCAATCATAAAAGTACAAACCTGGCCTCATCATACAGAGTACTCCATCATACATGATGCGCACAGCCAATTTACATTTTGGAAATAGGTGAAAAATGCAAAATATCTTACACATAAATCAGGTGAAGTATGACCTTCCAGTCACAATCAGACTGTGATCATGATGATATGCAGAGTGAAAGCAAAAGCCATAGCATTGAGGAACCAGAACAAGTAGAGAACACCGAGGTAGAAACCCACTAGGGGGAAACGTCGCCCGGCATGCCTTCTTGTGCGCATGCGGTCTTCTCTGATTTGGGCATGGAACAGTAGCCCTACGCTGGTGATGGTCGGTGCTGGTGCTGCCCACACAAAGCTAAGCACGACCAGGGAGAAGAACGGCAACGCGAAGATGCACCACATGACCCTTTTGATCAAGATAGCATTGTCCAGCCCTGGGACCACGGCGGCCATGAAAGACAGGATCATGCCCATGAGGGCGCACCAAAGGAAGATAAGGGCCAAGCATATCCACGCCGCACTTGACCGCGCCGCCGCTCCCCTCCCATAGATGAGAAGCATGGTGGCGATCATGGAGGAAGCGACCGCCACAGTATCGAGCACCAGAAAGGCGTTATAGGGAAACGTACCCCGCAGGTTTGGCATGCCCTCGGAGTCGTATCCGCCTGGCACGTTGAACATGGCGGTCAAGGCGATGGTGGCGATGAGCACTGCCACAATGCCTAGGTTCTTGGATAATTTCTCAATCCATTCTTTCATCTCTACGCCCTTCCACGGGAGTATGAAGTCTTGGCGTCGCGTCCCGATACAAACTCCCCGGGCTGATAGCTTGAGCACAAAGCCGATCTGGAACAGGAAAGCATGTAGCTAACTTTCTACTGATAATAATGTAGTTTGTGAATCTAGACAAAAACAAACATTGTGCACATGGTAACTATTTTTCACATGCTATGCTACATTAATTAACGCAATATGGGTTTTTTACGTACCATGGGCAAGAAGCTGGTAATATCCGAGACGAGGTCAAATGGTGTCCTCCCTTCATTGTTAGCAATGTTCAAGTCAAGGAGCTCGCTCTGCAAAATTGCAAGCTTTGGCTTCCCAGCAAGCACGGCGGAGTGCAGCGGCGTGTTCCCGTTATTGTCTTGCTCATTCACCACTCCGCCGGCGAACGGGCTACCGACGACGTATTTGACCACGGATTCATTGCCGCGTTCGATGGCAACATGGAGGAAGTTTTTGCCGTTGTTGTCGGCAATCTCCGCCGAGTCTGGGCAAGCTTGTAAGATGTCGCGGATGACGTCCACGTGGCCCATCCATGCCGCGATATGCAGAGGAGTGAAGCCTTGTTGGTCTTGCAGATATATGGCTGACGGCGCTGAGCTAATAAGCTGGCTGACGATCTCCCGGTCGCCGTCGGACGCAGCATAATGCAGCGGAGTGCTTCCCAATCCATCAGTTTCTTTGGCCAGATCCAGGCTCCATCTCAAAACATCACTTGTAATTTCTGCAAAAGAGGTCCAAAAATTAGTACTCCGTCTCTGTCCAAGTCCAACCAAACGTCCAAGCTTCTTTTATGTAAGTATAACTGGTTCACCGGCGAACCTGCGCTTTGTAGAACAGCTGCGTGCAGAGCATTCTGGCCGTTGGGGCCAGACGCAGAGGCAGCTGCGTGCCTACGTCCGACCAGAGCTTTCACGATGCCTGCTGAGCGGCGTGACACGGCGAGATAGAGCGGCGACACCCCAGCGTCGTTCACACCGCACGACAAGGCCGGAGCAGCCACCACCAGCCTCTCCACCACGGCCTGGCACCCGTGCCGCGCCGCCACATGCAGCGCCGTGTCCCCTCGGCTGTTCCTCAACACCAGAACCCGCGCCGCCCCTGGCCCATGGACACGGTCTTGGGCCAGTGTGATGAGGAGGGAGACCATCTCGTGGTGCCCCGCCCTCGCGGCGACGTGCAGCGCCGTCTCGGACTTGGAGTTCCCGCGTGGGAGAAGCTCGGCAGCGTCCGCCGGCGTGCCCGCGAAGAGACTTCTCACCAGAAGGACGTGGCCCTGGCTGGCCGCTATGTGAAGGACCGTGTTCCATCCAGCGGTGACCTCGTCGAGACTGCACCGGCCGTCGTGTGCTCTTCCATCGTGATCCTGAGCTGTGAGACACAGGTACGTAGTAATAGTACTAGTCAGATTTACGTATGTATATATACGTTGTAGCGCTAGGAGATTGGAATGGGTTATCCACGAATATATGTATGTACGTCCACACCAATTATAGTGAGAAAAAAGCCATTTGCTACATTGCAAAGGGTAAAAAAAGAAGGCGGTGAAAATATTTGCATGCTCTGGCGGGAGAGAACCATAGTACAAAAAATTCTACCTGCGGCTTGAAGAAGACCCTGCAGATCGTTTGCCGCCCCAGAGAAGGCGGCGCGATGAAGCTCCGGGCACATGAACCTGCGTTGGGCAAGCACCCCCTGGGGCTGGGCAGCTGCTCTGACATTGTCGCGATCATCTCGAGGAAGCGGCAGTACCCGGAGTAGGAACCTCGCGTCCGGCGAGCCCCTGGCACGGCTCAACGCGGCAACCAGGTCCTCGTCACGGACGCGGAGCGCCCTGCCACTTATCAGAGCGTCCTCAATAATCAGCTCCATATCTCTTTTCTCCTCCTTGGGTATCACAAGCGTACGTCCTAGACTCGATCGTCGTCGTCGTCTTCTTCTTCTTCAAACTAATAAACTAAGACTTGTTGGAGTCGGGGGAACCACTTGGCCACTACTCTGTTGTTTAGATGCACTAGGCCACAACTATTACAATCACATAGTGCTACGTGTTTGCATGTTCGGACAAGCCAAGAAGAAACGGAGTAGTACAATAACATCCCTTTTTCTTTCTCCAAAACAGTGCTCACCACTGGAATGAGAAACTTTGTCTAATGCCGGTTGTGTGACGACTGCATTTCGTTGGGTACTGCCGTGCTAGGAAAACTTAAGGAAAGACGAGTGCTCACCACTAACGAATTATGTTTCTTTTTTTCTTTTTCTTTTCTTCGGGGTGATGAATTCTGTTGCGAACACTGCTCGTCGCCAGAAAAAAAAAAGATAGCGCCTGAAGTGCTGCTGACATAAGGAAAGAAGAAGAATATAAAATTATTTTTGATAAACGAGAAGGTAGTTTTTTCTTAGGGAAATGAAAATAATAATATTTTTTTGTTTTTGAGAAACAGGGAAATGAAAATCCAGAACCTTTTTCCTGGAGTTCCTCGGCTTGGACCTGAATAGGCCTAGATAGTAAGCTGTCTTATCCAGCCCAGCCCACATAAAGCAGCTCCCACTTTTCTCACTCCGTTCACAACCTTCCCTCACAAAAGCTTCTCTCATCAAAAAAAAAAACCAAAAAAAAAAACTCGTTCACAAGCGGAAAGCAGAGTGGGAGGGAATCATGGCCGGCGGCGGAGGAGATAGCCGCCGCCGCGGTCGCTGAAGCTTCTCCCTCCGCATCCCTGGCTACAAGTACTATCGGGCTGGACAATCTGACGGAGGAACCCTAGAACTCGGAAGACAATCATGGGACTGAACCAATTGAGAGGTTCCTTCAATGATTCAATCCAGCTTCCTAGCTAGGTGAGGTGACCGTTGTTGAACGGAAAGCCAAGGGATTGCGCAGTACACTCTCCTGCAGCGCATTGGTATTTCTGAACAACTAGTAAGACAGTGTTACACTTTTTAATGTGATTGAAATCATAGCTGCGTCTCTTTGAAGTAATTATTATTGGTTCTTGGCGTGTTCAGGAGGGAAGGTCGGAGGTATTTTTGGATATACTGAGGGCATCAGCGTAGTCTGTACAAACCCAGCAGTATTATCAATATCTTGCTGGCTTAATGTATCGCTAGTACAGCATTTTTAATCTTATAATTTGGAGTGTTCCTGCACTTACAGCTAGTATCGATTGCCAGAACCATCCATATGATAGCTTTTTTCCCCCTTAGTGCATGAACTATGCGTTGTACTACAGCTAGTACCGAGGATCAACATGTTACACCGTGTCTAAGCTATAAAAAAAAACAAGTCTGAGTTTCAAAAAAAGAACACAAGTCTGTTGCTACTTCTCTCAAGGTTAGATGGGACCTTCGGCCAAGTCACTACCGGGATGACAGGCTATGCCGACGGCTAGGCCAAAACACAGTCGGGATAGGCCTATGCCGACGGCAGCCGTCGGCATAGCCCCTTCAGCAACTCATACGTCGGTGTATCCCAAATGGTAGTCGGCATAGAAAAGCCGTCAGCATAGCCATATATGCCGACGGTTTTCGTACGCCGTCAGCATCATTCAACCGTCGGCCAAAAAATTGGGCAGATGACAACTGATGGCGCCGTCGGCAAGCTCAACAATTGGCCGTCGGCATAGATCCCCGTCTATGCCTACCGCAAAGCCCTCGACATAGTCCTCGGTCAGGAGCTACCAGAAGCTGCCACGTGGTATGTATGCCGATGGCTTTGCCGTAGGCATATTTCTGGTCGTTTGTTTTTACATTTTTTGTTTTTTTCATTTAAATTAACATCACATATATACATATAACGACACAACACATATATAACATCCACACAACATTATCATCATCATCGTAGAGAAGATCATAGCGCCCAAAGTTGTCAAGATCATCGTCATCATCTAAACAATGTGGTGATAAAGTGAAATTGTAAATTACACAATCTGAATAAAAAATAATAAGCTTTATTGATATAAATACAGATAAAAAGTTCTTCTGATTTACATTGGATCAAAGAGGTAAGAAGAAAAGAAAATAGAAGTCTAAGATAATTAGATCTTCATCTTGATGATCATATGATCCTCTTTTGGAATAAAACCTGCAAGACAAACCGTAAGAGAAAAGCAAATTTGCTGATGATTTAAATGTTGCATTTCCGTTGGGGAAATGCATTGCTGTTTGAGCTGGCACCTAGAATCACTCGAACTGGTCCAAAAACCCTTAACCAGAGTGTTTCCAATAGAAACCAATAAAACCGACAACTAGAACACTAAGGGATCAAATGTACAGGACAAGAGACCAAAAAGGGATCAAATGTACAGGACAAGAGACGTACAGGAAGCAGTCCACAAGCAGAAAAAGAACAATAGCAGTAGATCAAGTCCTTCATCAGATCATGTCAAATGCAAGAGTAAGCCAGAACGGAAACCATTCCAGAAGCAAGAAAGTCATAGCTCACAAAACCAGCAAAGCATATCACACTACTAGGGAAAAGCCTATACACAGAAAGTTACTAGTAGCGAGGGTTAAAAACCCTCGCTACTGCTACTTACCAGTAGCGCAGGTTTTTAAACCTCGCTACTACTAAGTTGATAGCAGCAGCGCGCGTTTTTAACCCTCGCTACTATTAAGCAGTCTCTACCGTGCCCCCCGGGACATGCCATAGTAGTAGCGCGGGTTTTTAAAACCTCGCTACTACTAAGTTTGATAGCAGTAGCGTTGGTTTTTAGCCCTCGCTACTACTAAGTGGTGCCATAGTAGTAGCGAGGGGGTAAACATTTTCAAAATCCTCAAAAACCTAACAGAAAAAAAGTTACGGGGCTTTTAAGATCTAGAGTGGAAAAAATCGAAAAAATTTCAAACTGCGTGGTCAAACAATGGTCAAACTAATTATTCTAGAATATTAGTGTTACTAAATAATTATTTTAGTTTTTTGAATTTTGGTCAAATCTGGTCAAACTATGGCCAAACTGTGGTCAAACTGTGGTCAAACTAATTATTCAAGAAATATTAGTGTTACTAATTTTTTAGAACAATAGTTTCAAACTCAAATAGTGAAATGTGTGACTTCATGCTCAAGCTAAACATCTTACTATTGTTAGGAAAACAACAAGTGCAGACTTGGAAACGAGGAAGAATAGAACCCGGAAGTTAAGCGTGCTCAGGCTGGAGTAGTGAGAGGATGGGTGACCGTCCGGGAAGTTAGATGATTTGGAATGAGGAGGGGTGATTAGAGATTAAATTGAGCAGCGATGAGGGGTGATTAGAGATTTGAGGTTAAAATAATTCAGAAATTTGAAAATTAGGGGAAAAAATCGAAATATTTTTTTGAAAAAATTCAAAAAAAAACCGCGCTGGTAGTAGTAGCGCGGGTTTTTACCCACGCTACTACTATGTGTGTTCTTTACCCAAATCTCATAGACTGCGACGTTTACAATCGGAACTCATATATGTGTGTTCTTTCAAGACTGCTCTGTAGGACAACATCTTTGCTAATTATAGCCAATAGAACCACATTAAGGCATGTTGCCAACCTGCCTTACAGCTCTGAGCCTTACAGCTCTGAAAGTTTTGCATCTTTACTTAGAGACGGTCATTAGTTATTACTCTCATCAGTTAACCAATAGCTTGTTCTTCCCAGATCCTAATTCACGGGATCTCTAATCACAAAGGTTGGGTTACTACTATGGTGTAACATCTATGAGTCTCATACACATCTCCCTCGATGCAATATCTATCACATTTCGTGATAGTCCTTTTGTAAAGGGATCTACAAGGTTTTTGTCCATTTGAGTATACGTAATGGTTATTACTCCGGAGTTTCTCAACTTCCTGACAGACTTTAAACGTCTCTTCATGTGTCTTGATGACTTCCCATTATCTTTAAAATTGTTCACTTTAGCGATAACCATTTGGTTGTCACAATTCATAAGAATAGCCGGTACAGGTTTTTCAACCACGGGCAAGTCCATCGAGAGTTCACGCAACCATTCTGCCTCAACAGTAGATGTGTCTAAAGCAGTTAATTCTGCTTCCATAGTTGACCTCGTCAATATGGTTTGATTGCAAGACCTCCATGACACTGCGCCACCTCCATGAGTAAATACATACCCACTTGTTGCATAGAGTACATCAACATCGGAGATTCAGTTTGAATCACTA